GCTGGCCCACTCCAGAACAGGCTTTTAGTGGGACACTTCAGTAAGAAGGAATGGCAGGATTGTCCCAAGTCTCTTGTTCTGGATCTGGAACTGCAACACGATCAGCGCTGAAAAGGGCATTTACGTGCTGCCATGCTTCAAGCAGCAACTATGCTGCAAGACATCTGGGGTTGGTTTGGAACCTGAAATGTTTGGTGGGATACATTAGGCTGGGCTGTATGGCACTGCAGTTGGAAAGAATTCAGGTTTAAGCATCTTCTTAAAGGTAAAGGTAAAGGGACCCCCTGATCATTAGTCATTAGTACTTCTATTTATCTACTTGCACTTTGACGTGCTTTCGAACTGCTAGGTGGGCAGGAGCAGGGACCGAGCAATGGGAGCTCACCCCGTCGCAGGGATTCAAACTGCCGACCTTCTGATCGGCAAGTCCTAGGCTCTGTGGTTTAACCCACAGCGCCACCCACATCCCAAGCAAGCATCTTCTTACGGTACACCAATTCTTTGCTTCAAATTACATCCTTCCAGTGCCAAGATATATGGAATAGGGGAAGAGGCAAGTGCTCTGCAAAGGCACTGGAATATAAACAACTAAGCTACACATTGCTCCTCAAAATCGGTACAATTCACCACCTCTACACTGCCAAAATAACCCTTTCTTGTTGCCTTTCAACTCTATGAAACTGGTGGGTTGTCTTCAAAACTTGCTTTGATATTTTTCATTACCAGCACCATCATCAATCACACTAGTACTAGGAAACACATGCGTAGTGGCTGTACCAATCACACTGGCAGCAACTGGAGTAAGCAGCAAACAGGCATGGACAAACTCACAATAGGATTCCTCTAGCAATAAAGCTCACATGTTTCATAATGCAACAAAGGACTAGGACAACAACCTTGCTGGCATTGCATCCTCCCCATGTGGATTTGAGACCATGTAAAAGTGAAGGTGCATGGAACAGAAGTTGTAAGCAAGAAACCTTTATAGCATAGCACAACACCACAACGGCTCACTTAATGCAACTGTTAAAAGTATCAACCTTTGTTTCCCATTTCCTGACTTTTTGGAGGTTGAGTCACCTTAATTCTGGTCTCAGACCTTTGGTTTGTTTGGATTTTATTTTTTTAGAATAATTGGATAAGTATATTTTGTTGCTGCAGGAACCTGTCCACGATGCACTTTCATATCTAACTGGACAGAAGTCCTCATTAATGCCAACTATGGGGGGCAGGAATTGATGCCGGGGAAATTCAAACTGGGAAATTCATCAGTTCAATCCATTATTCTCACCACAGTCACCCCATTTTCACTAGTGAAAACAACCGCTGTTTTGCAAATGTAAAAGAATGGCAGCTACTCAAGGCAGTCTTAAATGCAGGCTATGATCATGGAATGGATTCATCATAAAGGCAACGTGAGTGAGAACAGCTATAGCTCAGAGAGAAACCACCTGTTTTGCATGTATAAAATTTCGGGTAGTGGAACCGGGGAAAGAACTTCTTCCTGAATCTCTGGAGAGTTGCTGTCATTCAGAGGAGACAATAATAGGAGAGGTGGGTTCAATGGTTTGACAGAGCATAAGGCAACTTCTTATGTACATTCCACTATGAGATCAGTATTAACACAGCAGGTCAAAAGGAAAGGAGCTCTTGATTTCTCTTTTCCCCTCGCAGACATTATTTCTTGTCTGTACACCTCACAAAATCCCAGCTGTGCCTAGCCGAGTAATCTCAGAACAGAGGAAAGATTGCTGATAGTTTAGCCTAGCTCTCGGTTACAGAGACAACCAAAGCTCTTTATGTATTCCCACCTAACTTCTGGGATTTCCCCGCCTCCCTGAGCAAAGGGTGGGATGAAGAATGAAGGGTACATGGTTTGTCAGATGGATTAAATCAAGAGGGACGGTAACCTGGCACGTTGCCTCATGTACAATTATCAAGAAATATGACCCCATGGAAATTCCTACGCGTGGAAGGTCTCAAACAATGAGAGGATTTAGGATTATATAAATCACAATGGCCTGTAGTATAATCACATGAGAGAACAAACCTGGAAAGCTTATTATACTGAATACCCAGATGGAGAACAACAGTTGTTGCTGTACTAAGAATTACCACTCTTGTAATCAATAACAAGGAAAAAAGAACAGTTGGGCAACTTGTTTCTTATTATGTTCACTTAGGCAACGTCTAGATCAATAAAGAGCATTAAGTCTCATACCACTCTTGGCTCTGCATACTGAATTTGCTGAGCGTATGCTGGGGAGGGATTTGGTTGTACATTCACAATTTTTTAGCAGATAAACATGCATTCCACTTGGAAAGCCATTGTTTAAATGCCGGGCAATTTTTTTGTAGCATATCGAGACAGCCAAAAAAAAGGGGTCTTGGTGAAGTATGCTAAATATATATTTTTAAGAAAATGAAAAGCATAACCAGAGAGGTTATTGCTTATTGTCCCTAATTTCTAGTAACACTTATTGTTCCTAAGGTTGACATCTAGGCCACCTTCAAGGAAAAGAAGCAATTTTGGAGTATAGAAAATGTGTGTCTGTGATGTTGCCCATATACCTCAACATCTGCTAAGATCAGAGGAACTTCAACATATTTATGCTTTCTTCCTATTCCTTCCTCAGTCTGCTCACTGCATGTATTCAAAGTGCTGGTTTTGACCTATAAAGCCTTAACCAGATCAGGACCACAATACTTCAAGGACTGCCTCTTTTCGTATGAAACTACCCAGACCCTGAAATCATAATCTGAGGCCCTTCTTCATGTGCCTCCTCCTCAAGAGGTTCGGAGGGTGGCAACACAAGAAGGGGCCTTCTCTGCAGTGGCTCCCTGTCTGTGGAATGCTCTCCCCAGGGGAGTTCAGGTGGCGCCTTCATTATACGACTTTAGTTGCCAGGCAAAAACATTCCTTTTTAACCAGGCCTTTGGTTGATCTGATTCACATCTATGCCCTGTTAAAATGTGTTGTTGTTTTTTGGTGTTGGTGGTGGGGCTATTGGGTTGTTGTTTTTATTTTTATTTTGTGGTTTTATAAATTGATTTTATTCTGTGAATTGCCCTGAGACCCCTGGGTATAGGGTGGTATAATAATAATAATAATAATAATAATAATAATAATAATAATAATAATAAAGCTAACCAAACTGGAAGGTCCAACAGCTATTTGAAAGATAGTGAAAGATAACCACATGTAAGATAACCATGGATCTCTTGATCTGGGCATTGCTTTCTATGTATGGTGACTATTGGAAGTGAATGAACCTGAGGATGATTCCAAATGGGGAAACCAAGCCAGATGGGTGGGGTATAAATAATAAAATCATCATCATCATCATCATCATCACCACCATCATCATCACCATCATCATCATCAAATCTCAATGTACGTAGACATGTGAGTCATTAACGTCAAAACAGCCCTGCTCTCTCTTTCTAGGTAGTCAATTAATGATGCTTTTGTCATGATGGTTTTGGGAGATTCCTTCTACCTTGTCTTAATGGCAGGTGCATGGAATTTGCAGGAGATACAATGCAGGGACATGATGTAGCCCCATGACATATTATAACTTTTGCACAGTTATAACCCTATGAGTTCCAGTTCCAGTTTCAATTCAACAAATTTGCACAAGAATGTGCATAAAAACAGCATACTTTGTTTTTAAATGATGCATACAAGTGTTATAGCTAGCATCGCCGCAGAAAGTTATTCCTGTGCAGGGAAAATGCCTCTTTCAGATAATACCTGAGATCTGCATGCATAAGCACAATATTAAGAATATTGGATGGGATCCATTGGGTGCCTTTGCATTCATGGAAAGGCTTTTGATCCAGCAGACACTTACGCTAATAGAAGAAAAGGGAAGGCATTTTTGCCCCTGAAGCTCCTCACATCTTCTTCCACCCTGTTCAGGAGGGTCCCTCAAGTCTTTGGAGCAGGTTGTGGGAACTGAAAGGAATTGGCAAAAACTGCCTTCCCTGTTCTTCCACAAGTAGAGATATCCACTAGATCAGGCACAGGCAAACTTGGCTCTCCAGATGTTTTGGGACTACAACTCCCATGATCCCTAGCTAACAGGACCAGTGGTCAAGGATGGTGGGAGTTGTAGCCCCAAAACATCTGGGGGGCTGAGTTTGCTTATGCCTGCACTAGATCAAAGGCTTTAACATGCGTGCAAATGTAATAATTGGGTTATACCCTTAAAAAAATACTGCCAAATCACCTTTAGTCTGTTGAATCCAACTAACTAGTTTACCAAATGCTTAATCTCTGCTTTCTCTATCTGCAGACAGAGCTAAAGTCTTGAACCAGAAGCTTGAAAAGCACATGGGCAGGCAGAACAGAGCCCACAAAAATAATAGTGTACAGCCCTTAAAATTACAATTATTGTGGTTTTTAAATTATATATACTACTATCGACTCACTCACCGTAGTAAACATTAAGGGAAGGGCTACCGAAAAAAACAGTATGTTCCCTGTGTGTGTGTGTGTTTTTAAAGATAATGTTGATCCTGCAATCTGCTGACATTAATTTAGCATAAATAAGTCCCCTAAGGATTTTGTTACTTAATGATCATATTGAGATCTTGACTAAATTAGTGACATCTATTAAATAAAGTGCTCCTTAGGAATGTGATAATTGTACTAGAACATATTGATTCAGGTTTTATTAACTCTGTCCCTAATATAACACAGCAGCCATTGCCAAAGCCAACACCGTTTCATACTTCCACAGCCCCAGAGAAATATTTCATATAGGTAATAGGCATAATTATATATTGGGGAAAGTGGTCGGTACCAGAGAAGGTTGCATTAAAACTAGTTAGAGGATGGCGAAAGCTCCTCACATGCTAACGGTACCACTTCGTGAGATTAGTGTTTAAAGGTCTCTTGCTGAGACACAGGAACACGGCCCGTTTATTACAGCATTAATCATACATACAATACTTCCAGTAAAACCAAGTACAGAGGAAGAATGATGAATCCCTACCAATTCCAATAAAGATTGCTTTGTAATCATCTTCCTTCAAGGCACTGAGCGTCAATCCTTCTGCCGAAAGCCCTCTGCCGCAAATTATCTGAAAGATAATATTAGGAAGCTCATCATCACTTTATCAGTCACTTTTAAGCTCAAGACATTCAGAAGCTTTGTCCCGGTCATTCAATCAATCATTTTAAGAAAATATAAAATTCCACTAAAGGCCAAAGGACTTTTTTTTTTAATGTTGTTGACCCTAGACTTATATCTGAGCCAAGACTGCGAACATATAGCAGAAACTGATTAAATACTTTTGCTGGTTCTTTATGCCCACTTCTAAATGCAATTCAAAGTGCTGGTGCTTACCTGTTCACTTTCTATGGTGGGCAGTGTTGCGGCTAAGCTGCAGGCCACGCCAGTGATCTGACGATTGGCAGGGCCACATCACTCAGATGCTGGCAACTGTCCAATGTCAGCAGGTTTGGGGCAGGCGTTCCCTGTGGGGTGGTCCCAACTGGCCAATAGGCATTATTATTATTATTATTATTATTATTACCACGCCCATCTGCTAGGTTTCCCCAGCCACTCTGGGCGGCTCCCAATAGAATATTAAAAACAAAATAAAAGATCAAACATTACAAACTTCCCTAAACATGGATGCCTTCAGATGTCTTCTAAAAGTCCGATAGTTGTTTATTTCCTTGACATCTGATGGGAGGGCGTTCCACAGGGTGGGTGCCACTACCAAGATGGCCCTCTGCCTGCTTCCCTGTAGCTTCACTTATTGCAGTGATGGAACCACCAGAAGGCCATTGGAGCTGGACCTCAGTGTCCCAGCTGAACGATGGGAGTGGAGACACTCCTTCAGGTATACTGGGCTGAGGCCGTTTACGGCTTTAAAGGTTAGCTCCAACACTTTGAATTGTGCTCGGAAACGTATTGAGAGTCACTTGGGCCCACTCCCGGGAGGGAATAAATTGTGGCCTGCCCAGCTCTCCTCCTCAGCCTTCACCGGACACCTTTGCTCCTGTATAAACTGGCCTAGGTACTGAGGTAACTTTGAAGGCCCTCCTTCAGGTGCCGCTGGCATCTGAGGTTAGGCAAGCAGCATCTAGAGTGCCGTGCCCCATTTATGACATCCTCACAAAAGCTGCCCTGGTACCAACCTTAGTATTGTGGTTTTTTTAATGTGGTATTTTACCATGCTATCACTTAGTCTCAAAAATAAAAGGACCGCCAGTAATCAGAGCAAGAGGTCTTGCTGAACTTTGAGTCGCTCCGTGCCCTTATACTGCTTCCTCCTCTGCTCATGCCTTTCTAAACTACATGCGACTTGTTCCACTTGTTAGTGTCCATTACTGTCATGGTTCTCTTAAGCGATGTTTGAAGTTGCTTATTGGAACATGGTGAGAAAGGGCATAAAGAAAAGTCAGCACCGAAGTGGACTTTAGGATTTAGAAGGACGTATCTGTAGTAAGAATGGAATGCACAGATAAAATATGGAATTTGCTATCACAAGATAGCCACCAATTTTGACGGCTTTAAAAGTGGACTAGACAAAATGGTGGAGGAGATGGCTAACAGTTACTATTCATGAGGACTATATGGCACTTCTAGGGACAGAGGCAGCAGGAGAGGATAGTGCCCCTATGTCCTGCTTGTGGACTATCTATGAGTATCTACTTGGGCACTGGAGAAAACAAGAGGCTGGACTAAATGACAGGCTTTTAGCCTGATCACACAGAGCTCTCGTTATATTCTTAGGAAAAGGTGTGGGTTGTTTTGATTAGCAAATATTTGTATTTGAGGGAGAATGCGTAATGATTTTACTGACACACCTACTGCATACGGAAATTCTAAGAACACCCTGGACCTCCAACCAGAAGGATATCTCCTCCTGCCAATGACTCCGTGTCTTACAACCTGGTTTGCTTTTGTGAAAAAAATATTTTAAGAAACAGGTTAAAAATAAAGAAAAGCTTTATTCCCATCCAAGCTGGGAACAGCACCACAAGCACATACACACACTGCACATGTTGAGCCGTCCGCAACATTGAAGTGAACGGAAGATCTTTGCTAATATGGAAGCTGAAGGTATATATCCAAGACCCTTAATTCTTGGTTGAGTACACGTTAAAAAATCATCTTTTCCCCTCTGTTCATTTAAAAGACGTTGTATAACTCATAATTATGAAATGATAACCAAAGCACAGTTGCAATCTTCCTCAAACAGATACTTTATATTCACTGGGAACAAAACATAAATCATTCTAATTTATCATACAATGATGTGGATTACACACACACACTTGGGGTGGTGGGATTTAGTATTCTTTAGGCCTCGTCCTGTAACTTTCAAAAACCCAAATTATTCTTAGAAAAAGAATTACATGCATAAATAACTTCCAGTGCTCAAGACAATATTGCATTCTTCATCTCAGAGCACCGCAATTACTCTGATTTTGCCGAGGAAAGAGTTCTGTGTGGTGGATATGCAAAGAACTGAAAGAGATCTCTCCATCATACTCATTAAGGGCCACGATAATATCAGGGAAAATGAAAGGCTTTGGAAGTATTGCATCTTAACAGTGTGCCAGCATATACTTTGCTGCTTAATAGTTTTATTATCATGATATTAGCTCCGTGCAAATGATCACATACGTACATGGACAACATTAAGTATGATAATCAATTTAAAAATATATACCACAAAACACGAATAGCTGAGTCTTTTCAAGGAAGTTTAACAATCATGCAGGGTTCCCCCCCCCAAAAAAATGTATTATTAATGCTCCACTTAGTTACTGTGCAAGACAGGTCTTCCCCCCGAGATGATATCTGTACACATTGTAAGAAAATGGAAAGTGTCACGGATTAATGTTTTTTAACTAATATTTAACTTGCATAAAAGGAGGAAGAGGGGGCTAGAAACAGCAACACCGCGACGTGATTAAAGAAATCAAATCCTTCCAATAGCTACACTGAACCCCTAAAGCAATTTAGGTATTTGTTTCTTACAGACAATTAATCACATGCAGGCAAGCCAGATGAGAACTATTGATTGCCCTTTTCCAAACTAGTGGCATTCAGACAGCAGACAGACAAATGCCCTGAGCAAGAGAAAGCATCTTCCTCCCTCTGCCTGGTGTAGCTTTTAATTGTTCTTCACTAATGTGCATGACATTTTGCTGTTAATCTTTGGCAGAGCTCGGCTCCCTTTTTTTTCCTGCGAGCTATACCAAAGCAGTTTATATTTTTCATTACCTTCACTCCGAGGTCTTTCATAAGCTCAGTTTCGAAATGTACTACATCATATGGCAGCCGGAACTGGGGGATTTCAGATGTACTAGAGAGAACAAATAGAATAGAGCTGATGAAACATTTCCCAGCTGTTTTACAAAAGAGAAGGCATCCTGGAATATTAAACATTTAAACACACATGCACAGAGAGACAGGCAGGGCATACTTAAAGCGGCTAAACACAAAGTAGGAAGTGCACCTTAAAACTTGCAAAAGCACGGCTAATCTAACGAACAGACAGCAGATACCCATGTTGGCACCTGTGGTATAAACTCAAGAAAAATATTTCAACCCATGTAAAAAAATAAGGCAGGCTGAAAAATTATATGGCATGCTATATATATATAAAAGCCACTTAGAATAAGAACTACACACTATATAGGCAAATGAAGTTTATATTTATCTTTTACCTAAAAGCAAAATATGCCCATTTAAACCAAAAATATTTTACAAAGACTTGCTAAAATTGAATATGTAAGGAGAAAAGGGTAACCACAAATCTCCAGTCAGGCACAGAGATCAGGTTCAGATCTGGTCTGATGCAGTTTCACTAACAGCTGTATATTTTTGAATATAAAGGCCTCAGCAATATTCAAAGGGTAACGACAGAAGTTTACCGTAATGCTCCTGGATAGATTGGAAATGTTACCTAGTCTTTCCCCCCAATACATTTGTTAAGAAGTAACTGGCACATCAGTTTCACCCAACCTGGGATCAAGATTGCAAACAGTTCCTTGTCCTTCCCTTTACCTTCATTCCTGTTTCCATAATACACGCAGGTTCCACTTTCCAAATGCTCACTAGGCAAAATTTCACTTATCCAAACATAGAGGATTATGCAGAAACCACACTAAAGACACAGCTGATTCGGATATCTAAACAGCTTGCCCACTTCCTTGTTTGTGCTTTGCTGGTCGATGGCAGCCAATTTCCAGAAGAAACCACAGAGAAAATGCGGGTGGGCAAGAGAAAGATCAGCCAAATCAAAAGATCAGGAGAGATCGAACATATAAGTTTTTCTTTTGTCTCTTTTTTGCTTGTTAGAATCATAGAATCATAGAGTTGGAAGAGACCACAAGGGCCATCGAGTCCAACCCCCTGCCAAGCAGGAAACACCACCAGAGCACTCCTGACATATGGTTGTCAAGCCTCTGCTTAAAGACCTCCAAAGAAGGAGACTCCACCACACTCCTTGGCAGCAAATTCCACTGTCGAACAGCTCTTACTGTCAGGAAGTTCTTCCTAATGTTTAGGTGGAATCTTCTTTCTTGTAGTTTGGATCCATTGCTCCGTGTCCGCTTCTCTGGAGCAGCAGAAAACAACCTTTCTCCCTCCTCTATGTGACATCCTTTTATATATTTGAACATGGCTATCATATCACCCCTTAACCTCCTCTTCTCCAGGCTAAACATGCCCAGCTCCCTTAGCCGTTCCTCATAAGGCATCGTTTCCAGGCCTTTGACCATTTTGGTTGCCCTCCTCTGGACACGTTCCAGTTTGTCAGTGCCCTTCTTGAACTGTGGTGCCCAGAACTGGACACAGTACTCCAGGTGAGGTCTGACCAGAGCAGAATACAGTGGCTGCAGTCATTTTAGGAAAACCATGGTGGGAGTGGGGAGAGTGATCATGGATTAGAAATGTTCCCATAGGAAACAATGGGAAACATTGGCTCATTATGGGAACAATCACCTAACAAACGATTTCCTGGGGTCACATTGTGTTCAGAAAGTGTGACCTGCAGGTATCTGTGTTAATCTGTGGTACCTCAGGTTAAGTACTTAATTTGTTCCGGAGGTCCATACTTAACCTGAAACTGTTCTTAAACTGAAGCACCACTTTAGCTAATGGGGCCTCCTGCTGCCACACTGCCGGAGCACAATTTCTGTTCTCATCCTGAAACAAAGTTCTTAACCTGAAGCACTATTTCTGGGTTAGCGGAGTCTATAACCTGAAGTGTATGTAACCTGAAGCGTATGTAACCTGAGGTACCACTGTATTTCCGTTCCTTCACCAGCAGTTATTCACAAGCCCCAAAAACAGAGATGAACATACCCAGGTAAAAAAGGTAAAGGTAAAGGACCCCTGGACGGTTAAGTCCAGTCTAAGGCGACTATGACTGGGGTGGCGGTGCTCATCTCACTTCTAGGCCGAGGGAGCCAGTGTTTGTCCACAGACAGCTTTCTGGGTCATGTGGCCAGCATGACTAAACCACACCGTGACAGAAACCGGAGCACATGGAAATGCCGTTTACCTTCCCCCCTATTTATCTACATGCACCGGCGGGCTTTCAAAATGCTAGGTTGGCAGGAGCTGGGACAGAGCAATGGGAGCTCACCCCATCGTGGGGATTCGAACTGCGGACCTTCTGATCAGCAAGTCCAAGAGGCTCAGTGTTTTAGACCACAGTGCTACCCGTGTCCAGGTATCCCTCTTCTAGACCAAGCCAATACATGCCAGCGTGTATCCCTCAGTTCAGCTCCTGTGTCCCTCCATAGTTCTCTCCTGGTTTCTTCTTTCTGCAGCAACCAATAGTGCTATTTAGAACTTTCTAGTAGTATTTCAAATCTGCTTTAGTCCTTTTCCCTCTCTTGTAGTCTCTTTTAACTCCAGCCCTTCAACTTGCTGACTCCACAAATGCTTGTTTCTAGCTTGATTTATATACTGAATTTTCACTTCCCCTCCAAAACCTTTTGCCAATCAACAAGGTGACTATTCTCCTTTTAAAGCTTCTGATTCTCCTTAACTGCTAGGTTCTTAGCATGAACCTTGGATCTGCCTGTAAACGACAAGCCCATTGTACAAAGCACTCTCTTACACTTTTAGCCTCCCTGTAAACTTTTGACCCTCCTGTGCATGGGAGCCTTTAAAGCAAGCAAGCAACCGTTTAACAATCCAAGTCTTTCAACCAAAAACCAAACACAAAATGGCTGAAAGTTTTATCCCCTCACAGGCAGCATTACGGTAAAATGTACTGTAGATTGCTTAAGCCTACTACCTTGAATATGTGGCATCAAACTATTGAGGAAATTGCTAAGAAGAGTAAGAGGGTCTCTGCTGTGCAACTACCAACATTCTATGGCCCTTCCTAATAATTTATTGGCCACTTTTATGCTTTCAAGCTTTATGTTCATGCTGTTCCTTTCCTTGAGGCTTTTAACTTCGTAAATTGCCTAGAAATCTATAGCTATACAGTTGTACCTTGGAAGTCGAACTGAATCTGTTCCGGAAGTCCATTTGACTTCCAAAATGTTCAGAAACCAAAGCGTGGCTTTCAATTGGCTTCAGGAAGCTCCTGTAGCCAATCGGAAGCCGCAGAAGCCTCATCAGATGTTCGCGTTCCAAAGAACTTTCACAAACCAGAACACTCCCAGATTTGTGGTGTTCAGGAGCCAAAACGTCTGAGTACCAACACGTTCGGGATCCAAGGTACAACTGTATGATAGAAATCTATAGCTATATGATTGTGTAAGAACGCACATGAAATTAATTTATTAAAATGAATGGTCTGATTCTGTCTTTAGTGTTGCTACTTAGCAAGGGCTAAAAAAGTTAGAAGTGAAAGACTGAACATCAAATTCGCTCCCCAAATGCTATCCGTATTTGGCTTCAGTTATTCAACATACTGAATAAAAGTATATTGTTTACAATAAAAAGATGAAGTGGGGCTTTTTAGGGGGTGAGGGGATTTGATACTTAAAATGTATATTTTGCAGAAAACCATGCTCCTCCCCAAACTTCAAATTGTTGTAGTTGAATGATGAAAACATGGTGTTCAGAATGCTTTATTTCCAAATTTAATTATACTTTATATAATTCCGAGCACAATTCAAAGTGTTGGTGCTGACCTTTAAAGCCCTAAACAGCCTCAGTCCAGTATATCTGAAGGAACGTCTCCACCCCCATCATTCTACCCAGACACTGAGGTCCAGCGCTGAGGGCCTTCTGGCGGTTCCCTCGCTGCGAGAAGCCAAGTTACAGGGAACCAGGCAGAGGGCCTTCTCAGTAGTGGCACCCGCCCTGTGGAACACCCTCCCACCAGATGTCAAAGACAACAACAACTACCAGACTGTTGGAAGACATTTGAAGGCAGCCCTGTTTAGGGAAGCTTTTAATGTTTGATGCATTACCGTATTTTAATATTTTGTTGGAAGCCGCCCAGAGTAGGCGGGGTATAAATAAATTATTATTATTATTATTATTATTATTATTATTATTATTATTATTATTTCCAAATTTAATTTAAATCTACCTTAAGCCACCAACATAGCCTTCCTTTTCAAATATGGTGATGTTTGAGTAGCCCAATCGAGCCAGAAAGGTGGCACAGCTGATGCTTGCAGGCCCTGCTCCAAGAAGAGCTATCTTGGCATGGTAGGCTTCTGGCATTTCTTCTGGTGGTGGCAAGGATGGACTTCTACTCTGAGGAATATTCATTGCTCTGAATACCTGAAAAGGAAATGCATTAAAGTAGTTAATGAGTACAGAAGACAACACCCCTCTCTTCAAGCCCCAACAGCTAACTTGTTTGAAAAATGTCCATTCGTAGAGTTTGTCATCACATATGAAAATGGCAATTCTCATAATATTCTTTATTGGTTTTCATTTGCACACTCCATATATACATATTATATTACATTTACACCTGCTTTCATTTGCACACTCCATATATACATATTATATTACATTTACACCTGCTCCCCAGAGCTGACTTCCCTCCTTCCCTCTTCTGGCCTTTTATATCACATCTAACTTTTTCGCATTGTCTTCATCCATTTTGTATATTATTGTCCTTCTTTCGTATTTGTCAATAGAGTGTCTATAGTCAAATAAATCCTCCTGTATATACAGTTCTTATTGTCTGTCTATATTCATTTACAACTACCATTGGTTACATTAATCACATTGTACATTTTACTTTTTGTTATTTTCTTTATCCAGAAATTTTCTTTGTATTTCACATTATGAGGTTTATTTCAGTTCTACTGGTTTCAATATTTCACCTTATCCTTCCTATGTGTGACATAAATTTTCCACATTCTTTTTGAAATGTTTCATTGCCCTGTTGTCGATTTCCCCCATTAATCTAGCTATTTTTGCATATTCCATTACCTTCTGTCGCCATTCTTCTACTGTTGGTACTCGCTCTTGTTTCCAAACCAGGTTTGGAAAATGGCAATTTTCAGTGTTAAGTATCAGGGAGTTCATCGCACTGAAATTGCAAACTATCCTTAGGGAATGTATTCCAATGACTGCCAATCACAGACAACTGCTGCCAGGGACTGGCAGGTCACTGATGAGTGTGCACCGGGAGAAAGGGGGCTGGAGTCTGACTCAGAAGAGGGGGTCACTGATTTGTGGGGGACTGTTCCAGCCAGGAGTCAGAGGCTGGGGAAGCTTCAGAGCTAGAGAGTGGAGCACAAGATGGGTAAGAAGAAGAGGCAGGTCAGGCAAGTGAAGGGCCCGATGCAATGCCACCCTCTCCTGAACCACTGTTCCCCAGAACCAGGAGGGGATTGAAATGGGAGGAGCAGAGAAAGTTGCCACGCAGGCGCAGTCTTTGGTTCCAGGTGCCCAACCTGTCAGGGGAAGATACATAAACTGGTGGAAGGGGAATGATCACCTGTTGCTGCAACTGCTCCGTAGAGCACAGACAATAGCTGCCTAGACACTAGATTGGTGTGCACAGGTATCCAGAGCTGTAGAAGCGATTGTGTTATCTTTGACAATACAGAATTAACTATCTGTGTGTGCATTCCTTTGGCTGGAAAGCATCCTTGACAACTGCAGAGAGTTTGAGATTTACTTGCCAGTTGCTTCACTTTTATCTGTTGGATCGCATGATAGAAGATTTGGGGGGAGCGGGGCGGTCAAAAGCAATGATAGCTGGGGCAAGCTATGATACTTACTTACAACCTAAAACAGGTTTCATGGAAGTGAATTCTACTTATTTAGAATGCACTTCTAATCAAGTGTGCTTACAATTCCAGTCCAGGTGAATAAATAATATAGAGCTTATAACAGAACCACATAGATATCACAGTTATTAGATTCCACACACGCCCAGCCCCAAAAGCCCAGGACCAGAAGCATTTATTTGACAGAAGTAGACCAAACCAAGAGTCTAGTCAATTGTAATTTTAAATGAAGAAAAGTTGAGCATGACTGCAATGTAGTGGTTGAGAGATCATGCAGCCATGCAAGAAATTCTAAAAATTCAAGGTTGAGTGCTTTGCTTTTAATTTTGCCTTCTCGTGCATATGACTCTCAGTAACAGTACAATATAGGGTTTAAAAATAAAAGACCTATGCTGACCATCTATGATGCACAGTCAGTGTTCCACGCTGTGAAGAAGTGTGGGGTGCTCTTTCATAATTATTTATAAATGATTTTAACAGTACAGACCCTATAAACAGATATACATTTTCACTATCTTCTAAATCAGTATTCTCCAAAGTGGTGCCCGCCCGCCCCCGATGTTTCGGAGTATAATTCTCATCAGTCCCAGCTATCATGGTTAATAGTCAGAGATGATGAGAGTTGAGGTCTTCAACATCTGAAGGTCACCAGATTAGGAAGGCCTATTGGGAAAGCACAGCATTATAGAAAGGAGCATGATTCCTACCATTTACAGCAATGCACTCCAGGTGGAATTGTGCTTGGGCCTTGTCTGAAAGAACCAGCTAGGGCAGCAGATAGACAACAGAATGCTAAAACATCTGCACAGGCTATCCATATACTACCAGGTGAGGTTCAAGGATCTTGCGTGCCTTTTTAAGACTCATGGGACAATTTAAACAATGCCCGGCAAATGCCAGAAATACAAGATGCTAATCGGCAAAAACAATTTGCGTTTGTGGCACCTTGATGCTGACCATTTGCACTTATCTACCTGCAAAGCCAGCGTGATGTCTTGTTTTGTGCTGCGTTACTGGCACAGCCAGTCAATAAGTCTCCCACCCTATGCACTTAATCTGCTGGCACAGTATGTTTTCAATTGGGCTGTAAATCTTGCAATGCTCAAAAAGGCAAGGACCACAAACCATTTAAAGTGCCACATGGAAGACAAAGGGATTAACCCAGCTTAATTGCTTTATAACAGCACAGTTTAAGCACTTAGGCAGGTATCCTACCCGAATGCATAGGGAAGGCTGCACAAATATTTGAGGCAGAAGCACAATAGGCACTTTGAACTACCGAGGGCAGGAGACAATTCCCTAATTGCTTACATAGGCCCTCCCTGTCACTGCTCCCATACCTTTGCTAAGTAGCGAACCTGGAGGTGAACCTAAAAAAATGAAGAGCACACTGCAAAATAGCTTCTTGGAAGTAAATATTACAACCCAGTGGTTTCCAAACTTAGCACATCCATAGAAGCCTTTCTTCAAGTCCACCAAGGACCCCTTGCCTGTAAAGACCTGCTGGGACTCAATGCCACCCTGCACGGGCCAGGACACATTCAACACTTCTCCACACATGTTGGTGCCCAAATCGTCAATCAGGGAGGCCTCTCCACATCACGCTCTCAGTGAGAAACCTCATACAGTGGTACCTTGGGTTACATACGCTTTAGGTTACAGACTCCGCTAACCCAGAAATAGTACCTCGGGTTAAGAACTTTGCTTCAGGATGAGAACGAAAATCACGCGGCGGCGGCGCAGCCGCAGCGGCGGAAGGCCCCATTAGCTAAAGTGGTGCTTCAGGTTAAGAACAGTCTCAGGTTCAGAACAGACCTCCAGAACGAATTAAGTACGTAACCAGAGGTACCACTGTATATGTTTCCATGAAGCCCTAGGGATGCAGATTGAAAGCCACCGCTGCTGCTCAAAATGTTTCACGTTATTCTCTCTCAAGGAGATCTGGGATGGAGTTCATTTCATTTATGTTTTATTTTCATCCCGCCTTCTTCTCGAAGCTCATGGTTCTCCCCTTCTTCATTTAATCCCCACACCAACCCTGTGAAGTAGGTAAGGCTGAGAGGCAGTGACTGGCCCAAGGCCACCCTGTGAGCTTCGTGGCCGAGTAGGAATTTAAACCCTGGTCTCCCAGGTCTCAGCCCAACAATCCAACCACTACATCACACTGGCTTTCATGACAGACCTTTCCCCCTAATGGAATTAAAGGTCTTCCTGCTTTGTTCAGATGTCCATCAGAGTCATCGTCTCTGGGAAAATGTGCTTGACTACATAGCCCAGAAATGCTCATACATTGAACTATTCTCTCTGCAAGCTGCTTTTCTCTAGAGGCTTGTGGAATGAGTTTCAGTTGCCCCTGAAAAAGAAGAGTAATTGTATTCAAAATATTTGGGGGCTCTGATACTTAAGCTTCCTTCTGAAAAGTTAGCTCACAACACTTTGAGGTCCACCTCTTGATTTCCGCCTGTCCTTTTGGTGCTGCTCAGTCTCTCCTTCTGACATATATTTGCCAGTGCAGTTTATGGCTACAGTAGAAGCTGAACATGTTAATTTTGATAGATTTCGTCTGCTGAAGATAACAAGAAATTATTCAATCTTGCATGCTTGGAATGCAAGTGGAATATTACCCCCAAAATGCATTATGAATATGACAGATTATTGTTCCTTATCATTTCTATTATATATGAAATAGTCATTAAAAACCATTGCCAAACTTGAGGGGGGGGGGCACCTAAAGTTTGCAACATTTATGAGCATGATCTGGGTATAAAATGAGTGTATATATTCTAAGTATATATTTGTGTGCGTACATATTTCAATAAATTTTAAATTATGCAGAACTACCACATTGCTCAACTGTATTAGAACCCTTGATACCAATAGATCACTTTAAATAAACTTAAAATGCTGTGATGAAAACCATTCAGAGCTATTCATCCTATGCCAGTTTTAATATCAATCATTGTGCCAGCGCACAGCATTTTTAATAGATTTCTAAAGATTTTTGCAGAAGAATGGTGGATATTTAGCAAAATCTATCAAGGCATAATTCTTCCCTATTAATCAAAGCATTAAGGCTAAAAGGAGACACAAATCAAGGTTTAACAGATATTGCTCACATTTGGTTTTAAAAACAGTAATAATTCAGTATTATATCACTCACACATTTGACAAGAGTTTAATCTATTTCTTTTACGCGAGCCGCAAATGTGTGTACTTTTAAAGAAGAAAAAGCAAACTGGAATGGTTCTCTTTCTGTGGCAAGCCAAAAACATCCACTATTAGTAAAGGATCAGACATTCACTGTGCTCAATGAAACTTGCAAGCACATTCTTTCAATAGTCCTCCTGGCCTCTCATTGAGAAGTCCAAAGCCAGTTGCCTGTCACAAAGAGGTGGTCAAAAAAGATGACTGCTCCAACAGGAAACTAAATATCTCATTTGCCAGCTTTCCTTGCAGGAAGAGTTGCAGGTAAGCTACAGGTAGAGTGTAGCAATGGGCTATTTATTCAAAGGAACGCCTGCCCATAGAACACTATGCAGGAAGAGAAAACTGCATTATCTAAAGCTGAAGAACTGAGGTGAATGAATTCGTAATGGGTTCGGCCCAGTTTATTCTACCATCTGGGGCAAAAGGAACCGTGATTCAAATCTTTTTCCATTAAGTATTTTTAAGAAGAGCCTGTTACATTCATTTTTAGAGTGTACTTCAAGTATGAATAGCTACAGAGCAAAGTTCAAATGATTAGCTGCCAAAATCTTAGTCAATTTTTTAATATATATCTCTATTTTAAGGCGCACCATTCTTGTAACTGGAGCAGTGGCGGACTTTGTGGTCTCAAATTTCAGCAGCGTCCTCTACAACATGAAAATTTGGCGCCCCCTGCTTCTCACCTTCCATTCTACATCATAGTTGCAGTGCTCCCCCATGGCAACCCTGAGACTCTACGCCCAGTGTGACTGAACCAGTCATACTCCCCCAAATCCACCTCTGACTGGAGGGGTAGGTGGGCAGAGCTACTACACTCGTGCCCACTCTCTCACACTTCACGTGGGATCAGAACAGGGCTACACTGCAATTCAAACCTTAGACCATGGCTGAAAATAAAGGATGATTTGCCAAGTGGCAATGGAGCTGCTCAGTAAGTCAAGGTGAACAGACCAATCTTTAGGGATTATTTCTTTCTTTATTATTTCACATTTACACCCCGCCCTTGTTCGCCAAGCGGGGAGGGCAGGGTGTATTATGAAATCACCTAAAGCTGTTCAAAACAAGTTTCTAATATGTTGGTAACCTCATACCTGGCGTTGCTCAAAAATCCCAAGAAACCAAAAAGACCAGTGCAGTTTTGAAAGGTTCCATCCACCGTATTGATTCGAAATGGCACTCAAGTGTATTCAAGCACAGGCAGAAAACATGCTCCCAATATCTCAGGAACCACTGTGCAGAATTGTATCTTCAGAGGTGTCTCAATTCATAGCAAGCAAGCAACTTTCCAAATTAGCCTGAAAAGATGGAAGGAAGGGGGAACCTCCAAAACTAGTGTGAGGCTGAGCAAGTGTTCCAGTGGTCCAGTGGATAAAGCTTGTGTAGTTTGTATAGCTGCTTTCCTCCTGCCCATCAAGTTGCCCAGAAAAAGACCATCTGGCTGATAACTGGGCCTCTAGTAGGTGCAATAACGTGATGGGAGCTAAGTGCAGCTTGCTTAGTATGGCTCCAACTATACTTTTTAAATGTGAGTCACTGGGGCAGGGGGCATGTATAGGGCTAAAAGACTGGACGAAAACAATAAATAATAAATTCCTATTTGGCATCATGTCTGTGCAGCAATTGTCCTATATCATACAGCTGTGCTTCATGGGTGGCAACCCGTATCCCAAGGACCAGACACTGCCTTTAGCCCCCATGCAGGTTGAGATAGCATGCAGGACAGAATGAGACCAAGAAGGGCAAAACATGGGCTGGGTGGAGTGTAGCTGACATGGATGGAGAGATGGAAGGAAGATTGGGAGGGAACTCTCTGTAAGCAATCAGTTCTCTGGTAAGAGAAGGGCCACAGCTTAGTGGTAGAGCATGTGAGGAGCCCAATGACAGGCAGATCTGGAGCCAATGAAAGGCGACCTTTGAGGGTGACTTGGAAAGTACAACTAATCCAGAATGTGGCAGCTAGACGGGTGACTGGGAGTGGCCACTGGGACCACATAACACCGGTCCTGAAAGACTTACATTGGCTCCCAGGACGTTTCTGAGCACAAGTCAAAGTGTTGGTGCTGACCTTTAAAGCCCTAAATGGCTTTGGCCCTGTAAACCTCCAGCCATATTGTCCAGCCAGGACACTGAAATGCAGGTCTGAGCGCCTTCTGGCGGTTCCCTCATTGTGAGAAGTGAAGCTACCAGGCAGAGGGCCTTTTCGGCCCTCCCGTCAGATGTCAAACAGACCAACAGTTATGTAATTCTGAAAAGACATATGAAGGCAGCCTTGTTCAGGGACGTTTTTTAGTGTTTGATGTTGCATTGTGTTGGGAGCCGCCCAGAGTGGCTGGGGTGACCCAGTCAGATGGGAATAATAATAATAATAATAATAATAATAATAATAATAATAATAATGTAAAGGTAAAGGGACCCCTGACCATTAGGTCCAGTCGTGGCCGACTCTGGGGTTGCGGCGCTCATCTCACTTTATTGGCCGAGGGAGCCGGCGTACAGCTTCTGGGTCATGTGGCCAGAATGACTAAGCCGCTTCTGGCAAACCAAAGCAGTGCATGGAAACGCCGTTTAACCTTCCCGCAACAGCTGTACCTATTTATCTGCTTGCATTGGTGTGCTTTCAAACTGCTAGCATGGCAGGAGCAGGGACCAAGCAATGGGAGCTCACCCTGTTGCGGGGATTTGAACCGCCAACCTTCTGATTGGCAAGTCCTAGGGTAGGTGACAGTTAATTATTATTCTTGCCCCCATAAGGCACCCCCTGAACTTGTTGTAAATAAGAGGGCAGTCAGATGGGGACTGGCTGAGGGCAGAGAGAGCCTGGTGGAGCTTTGCCTCATTTGCCGTAACGGACCAGCCTCCACTGCTAGGCAAAGGGGAGAGGGAAGGAAGGAAGTGGCAGAAAGAGAAAATTTTGCTCCTGACCTACCAATGGCACAAGGCAGAGAGAGCCTGTTCTTTCACACACAAAACAAATGTCCCCCAACCCTGCTTTATAACCAAAAGTATTTATGGATTCCATCTAACTCTTTGTACATTCTTTTATTCAACACAAAGAAGTGGGCAGAGAACTACTACATTTGGTCTGGTTGCCAACAAGATGTGGAATCAAATCTCATTATTAAACAATCAAACAAAAAAAATCTGAGCTCTACACATCTTCACTTACCTCGGTAGCAAATTGCTGCAGTCCGCCAATATTAATTGGTCCCTCCTCGGTGGCATATAAATTGCATCCACCCACGCAGAGGTCTGAAGTTGGGCACACCATCCCGCACGTCAGCCCAAGCGGGTTGTCAGAAAAGATCATTCTGGCAGCTCCGTAGTAGTTCTGCACAAGCAGGAAAACAGCAGCAGCATCATGTTAGAAGGAATGTGGAAGCTTAGAGACAAAGCTTTCAGCATTTCATCTGAACAATGTGTGTAGCATTACCCCAACGATTCCACACAAAATGTAGCCACATCTTACTCAGACATACAAGTTTTAAATCCATTTTCAATCATGTCAACCTTATTTTGAAGACTGAAATGTTGTGATTAGTTTAGGCAGATCTTAAGTCCTCCCCGTAGCAAAATGGTCTTGCTATAGAAATAATGTTGTAGCTGCAAAACCTTCGTGTAATGGCACCCTCTGTTCCTAAATCAATTACATACATGGGGAGAGGGAACCCCACAAGATAATGTAATTTCCTTCCCAATTTCCTTCTCATTCCACAGAATCCACATCAAGACAACTCCTATCTTTCATTATTACTTGAAAGATATTTATAAAATCCACCACTGATCCTCAGCAAAATAAGCTGGTTAATACATGCAAGGTTGATGCAGCAAAAAAGTTTCTATGATTTTATAATTATATGATTTATCTGTACCCATTGTTTCCTCAATATGTGTCCAAGGGAAGGCAAGGAACAGCTTGCAGCGCCCTCAGTAAGGTCAATACTCCGGGAAAAGCCCCGACAACACATTCCTGCTGCTTGAAATGGCAACCCAAGGCATCTACTCAGAATTAATGGGGTCATGTTGTGCAGTGGTTACAGTACTGAAGTAGAGTCACATCCACACCGTACATTACAAGCACTTAAGTACATTACAGTATGATCACATCTTACACACATTTAACTTGTGTGATCTCAACTATACACAGTTGTAGGTCAGCTAGTTGAAATCCTGTGTGTTCAATGCAGAGCCGATACATGGAGAGGGTCTCTCCACACCAAGTCTGGATTGCTCGCATGACATCTCGTGGGAACTCAAACACCACACGAGATCTTGCAAGAGCATCCTGGGGCTTCTAGAGTCAGTGAGATTAGAGAGCCTCGCTTGTAAACCAAGGCTCTCTAATCTTGCCAGGTCTGGGAAGCTCCTGCAACATCTTGTGGGAACTCAAACGACCCCATGAGATCTCATGGGAGCATCCTGGGACTTTTGGAATCAGCACACCAGTTCCTGAAACCTCAAGATGATTGCCAGGGGGTTGGTTCCCAGGATTTGAGTATAAGCGTTTTTGCATATACACAGAACCATTGGAACCAACTGCCGTGTAAGACACAATCCTACTGTACATCCCCCAAAGAGCCCTAGGAACGTAGTTTGTTAAGGGTGCTGGGAATTTTAGTTCTCTGGTGGGTACACTATTGTTCTTACCATTCCGGGGATGGGGTGGGGGCAGAAGCAATGTGCTTTACATGTGCGGTGTAAATGGGAAAGGGACGCGGATGGCGCTGTGGTCTAAACCACTGAGCCTCTTGGACTTGCAGATCAGAAGGTTGGCGGTTCAAATCCTGGCGATGGAGTGAGCTCCCGTTGCTCTGTTCCAGTTCATGCCAACCTAGCAGTTCGAAAGCATGCAAATGCAAGTAGATAAATAGGTACCACTGCGTCGGGAAGGTAAACAGCATTTCTGTGTGCTCTGGCTTCTGACACGGTGTCCCGTTGCACCAGAAGCAGTTTAGTCATGCTGGCCACATGGCTCAGAAAGCTGTCTGTGGACAAACGCTGGCTCTCTTGGCCTGAAGGGATGAGTGCCACAACCCCAGTTGCCTTTGACTGGACTTAACCGTCCAGGAGTCCTTTACCTTGTAGATGGGACCTAGACCTGGGGAAAACTAGGTTCAAATCCTAACTCAGTCAAGAGGTTTCTTATGGGCCAGTCATACTGTCTCAGCCCTACCTATGTCACAGGATTAGTGTGAGCGTAAAATGAGGACAAAACATGTACCCAACCTTGAGCTCACTGTTGGAAAGCTGGGGCTTTAATGTGGTAGTAACAATGAGAATCCCTTCTGTTTTAAAAGTGGGTTGCGGACCTTCTCCAGAACATAAGAGCCCATCTTAACCACCTGAGGATCTTCAGGTTTACTGCACTGCATCTAACAATGGACAGCCATGGAAGCCCACAAGCAAAGCAAGATGATAACTGCCCTTCTCCTAGCAACTGGCACTCAGAGCACATTACCCCTGAACCATAATTTCCTACGGGTTGCCAGACACCAAAAAGGTGTGTAGGAGATGAAGGCAGAGCTCTCCTGCTCTTCCTTCCACCAGCTTGTTCCAGCTTGCCACCAGGGGAAAACCAGTCAGAGAGGAGGGCATCAGTGGGCTGGTGACAGGAGGAATGAATAGAGCAAATATTTTAGCTCCAACTAGCTACCTCATTATGAGGAACAGTTATATCGCTCCATACAAATTAAAAGGCGGCAGGGCAGAGGGAGCTAGGAAAACATTTCACCTACACAAACTTTGTTTATTGCCAATTCTGTCTTCCTAGCACCAAGCAATGCATTTCCATAGAAAATCCACAGGTAATTTGGAAATCTGCCATGTTGCAAATGTGCTCACTTTATTTGCTGCTTTATTAGTTGTTTGGCTCCAGGTAGCCTCAGACAGTTTCATGCAGCCTCAAGGACTCCGTTAATTTGAGTCTGAATGAAAAAGAAACACGGACTACGTGTAGGAGTAAATGTGTTTTTAAAAATAACATAAATGGGACATCTTGCAAAAAAATAAAAAAGTGATTTCACAGGACTGGGCAAGATGAGAAGAGGTGCTTTGGCGTGAAAATATTAAAAATGTCACTATGATGACAGATATTGTGAGGATGCAGGCTGCACATAGAAAACGCACGGCCCCAACAGAAGTGTTTTGGATGAACAGATTACAGAATGTGCCTTTGTGGATTTCAATAAGCCTGCCTAAAAGTATGAAATGATATTCCAAATGGCTGCAATGGCAGAATCAGATACTGGTGGATTTCAGTGGCAGCTGTATTCGCAACTGGACAACTACAGGAAAAGAGGAAAGTGCCAGATATACACACAGGTTGCATCATCCATGTGTCTATGCATCACTTAAACATGTCATGTGATCATCTTGCCCATCAGACATCAGAGAGCAAACTGGCAGCAGACATTATTTAAGCAGCTTTTCATTAAAGATTATTGGGAAAATCCAATTTTAAACAAGTAAATAAATAGGTTGCACTCTAGGCTTTGGAATCCACAGTCTATAAGGTAAAAGTTAAGTCTAGTCAAAGGTAACTGTGGGATTGCAGCGCGCATCTCATTTTCAGGCTGAGGGAGCAGGCGTTTGTCCACAGACAGCTTTCTGAGTCATGTGGCCAGCATGACTAAACTGCTTCTGGTGCAATGAGACACGGTGACGAAAACCAGAGCGCATGGAAACGCCATTTACCTTCCTGCCACAGGTACCTATTTATCTACTTGCACTGGCATGCTTTCAAACTGCTAGGTTGGCAGGAGCTGGGACAGAGCAACAGGAGCTCACTCCATCATGGGGATTCAAACCACCAACCTTCTGATCTGCAAGTCCAAGAGGCTCCGTGGTTTAGACTACAGCATCACCCGCCACTGTCTATAACAGGAATGGGCACGCTGCTGTTCAGATGTTGCTGCACTCCGACTCCCATCATCCTTGACCATTGGCAATGTTGGCTGGGGCTGATGGGAGTTGGAGTCCAGCAATAGCTGGAGGGCCACAAGTTCCCCATTGCTTTATTGGGTTTTTTTATCCCCATTGTTGCTGCTCTATGAGCACAACAGTGACAGCCAAGTGGCTAAGGGAAAATGAAGAAGTCTTATGTCACCCTTCCTGCAGACTGTTTCGCATTAGCATTCTAGTCAATCTAGCTGGTAACCAGAAAGCTACACACTGTCATTTTAAAGGGAATAATGCATGAAAGTATAGCTTAATTTATTTGTCAAAATTCTAAAGCCTTTTAGCACATGATGGAAGTTGAAATATCAAACCAGATGTCTTTTACACTGAGGCTGAAATTCTAAAAAGGTATTTATTTACAACTGCCAAATCAGTATATGCAAATCACTATCCATTTTAATTTATTAACTAAATGTTCTTCATGGAAATCAAATTGCAACCAATTCAACAGGTGGCTATTTGTTTCCCCCCCTGTGCTTTCCTCTAAAACACAATTAATTATATAATGGTTAAAAGACAAATTTTCACATACTAATATACTTGTGTGGCATCTTCATTAGAATACTTCCATTATGTAAATTCAAATGTTGATTGTTTTCCTCTGTTACTGGATTATTATTGTGATTAAATTTATGCCAAGATGCATTATTCATTGGATTTAAAGCCATTATGTACATTTTATATGGACTGTTACAACTACAGTGAGATATGCATTGTGGACTTCCACGCTATTAGAGACTAACACAGTAACACAACAAATGTATTAAAGGGAACAGCCACAATCCAACATCCCTAATTTTGCATTTGATTGTAGTTGACGCATTTTGCAGTTCACTTTCAAATTATTTCAGAGCTCATAAATGCACCAAAACTTTAATTAAATGGGCAAATGTGAATAATTACCAATTAAACAATTTACTTAGTGGTTATGCTGATTTCAATAGCCATGAAAGCTCCCACAAGCACTTTCACCATTGTGTCCAAAATGATGGCATGAACCACTTTCAGAAGAACTGAAAGATAAATTCAGGGCACTTACACCTTCCTTGTCCTACATAATTAGACAGATGGGCACCACATGAAACTTGTCACTGTTACTATCCTCTCTGAAAGAGTCATGTAACATGAAATGGGAAAAAAAATATTGGGGACATAAAGAACCCAGAAATAAGGAAGAATCTCAATTAGAGGCTAATGGAGATTAATAGACTAATTAGAGAACTCTAATAGAGAGCTCCAGATAAACATGATTTTCTCCCATAAACAATTCAGAGGGAAGTGTTGGCAAACTGATGCCTACTTAATTTACCAACAATATGGCTGGTTATAGCCTGTGTTAATTATGATACTGGCTGCAGTGATGATGGTACTGGG